ACACACACACACACACACACACACACACACATTTTATTTATTTATTTTATGTGTATGAGTGTTTTCCCTGCCTGTATAAGTATACCACATGCATGCAATGCCTGAGGTGGTCAGAAGAGGGCATTGGATCTCCTGGAACTAGAGTTATGGATGGTTGTTAGCTTCCATGTAGGTTCTGGGAACTGAACCCAGGTCCTCTTAACCACTGAGCCATCTCTCCAGCTCCCAGTAAGCACTCTTAACAAACCATCTCTCCAGCCCTAAATCTTTCTTTTCCAGACTTCATCAATTGCACAGAATCATGTTGTATTTTAATTTATTTTATTTTCTAAAATTTTATTTTTTTATATTTTATGAGTAGATTGCCTGCATGTATGTAAGTGCACCCATGTTGTGCAATACCTGCAGAGGACAAAAGACGACATTGGATCCCCTAGAACTGGAATTATGGACAGTTGTTAGCCACCATGTGGGTGCTTGGATTCCAACCCAGGTCTTCTGCAAGAACAGCCAGTGTTTTTAACCACTGAGCCATCTATCCAGCCCCAAAATTGGACATTTCTAAGATTGTTATTTGTTGATTTAGTCATTTCATTTATTTTATGTATCTTAAAATGTAAGATTGCTGTATTAGTTCCTTTTCTGTTGCTATGATAAAACACCATAACCAAGGCAACTTATAGAAGGAAGAGTATGTTTGAGCTTTTTTCCAGGGGTAAGAGTCCATAACATCATGTGAACAGAAGGCTGAGTGATTACATCTTCAAGCAGGCACAGGAAGCAGAGAGAGATGAAAAATTGTTGCGGGTTCTCCTCAGGCCAGCTGTGAAGACCCTAACCTGGATCGGGTCCCCTGCCGATTGGGGCGGGGGTAAGAGGCGCGGGGTCACGACACACAGACCCCGGGAGTCAGGTAGAAGCAAGCACTAGGCGAGGTGCTGCAGACTCATTTAATGCCAGAGGAGGCACACCTTATATTTCCCTTTTCTCCGCCCCCAAGTCCCTTGAAACAGCATATTGTTTTCTGATTGGTCCGCGCCACACAGTCTGTCAGCAGTCACTGGGCTCACGAGCAGGGAACGGAGGCGTGGGCTCCTTTTGGCCCGCTATTTGCGGATCAAGAAATGAAGTGAATTCTTGCTGAATCCCAGGGCTCTGGGTCCATGCCATCTTTGGAGGCCTCCTGCTATAAAAAATCTCTCAGGATTTAAGAACCTCCTACCCCCTGTGATGTGCTTCCTCCAGCATGGCCACACCTTCTAAAACCTCCCAAAACACCACCACCAACTGGGGACAAAATGTCTAAATACTTGGAGCCTATGGAGGACATCCTTATTCAAACCATCACAATTACTAAAACTTTCAGACACAATTTTTCACTTTACATTGAATATGTAATATTTCCCTATATTTCTTTGGGTTGTAAGTTCTATTTTATATAATAATTTTATTGATTATTTGAGAATTTCATACAATATATCTTGATCATATTCAGACCCCATCTCCATCCTGCCTTACAATCCTCTCCATGATTTCATATCCTATATTATTAAAATACTATTATTATTTATTATTTATTTGTTTATTTATTTATTTATTTATTTAATGTGTGTGGGTATTTTGCCTGCATGCATGTAAGTAAATCATGCACATGCCAAGTTGCAGAGGTCAGAAGAGGGCATCAGATCCCCTGGAACTGGAGTTACAGGTAATTATTAGCCACCATGTGGGTTCATATGTGCAACTGCCCCTTTGGGTCCAGAAAACAAAGTTTCACTGTATTCATCTCTCACCTCTGGCTCTTACAATCTTTCTGTGCCCTCTTCTGAAGTAATTCCTTGGGAGGAGAGGGTGTGATAGATGTAGGGATTGCTGGTATTACTGATGAACACCACCACATTGGGCTTTTTATGTGGGTTCTGGGGATTGAACTTGGTTGTCAGGCTTTCATCCTCTGAGCAGTCTCCCTAGCCTGTGACTGTAGTTTTCAACCTACATTTCAAACTACATTGAATTGACCATTCCAGCCTCAGCCCTTTCATAGGGGACCATTTTATGGTTTTGGAACAGTAATAGAGGAAAGAATGCAGCTGGTATCTAAAAAGACTAATAGTCTTCTGTGAGTTAGAAATGAGGTTAGAATGAGCTACTGAGGAAGATGAAGAAGGAGGAGACCAGCCTGGGC